CACTTCATAGCATTAATGTTGTCTAGATGCTGTGTCACTTCATAGTATGGATGTTGTCTAGATTCTGTGTCATTTCATAGCATGAGTGTTGTCTAGATTCTGTGTCACATCATAGTATGGATGTTGTCTAGATTCTGTATCACTTCATAGCATGGATGTTGTCTAGATTCTGTGTCACTTCATAATATGGATGTTGTCTAGATTCTGTGTCACTTCACAGTATGGATGTTGTCTAGATTCAGTGTGAGTTCATAGTATGGATGTTGTCTAGATTCTGTGTCACTTCATAGCATGGATGTTGTCTAGATTCTATGTCACATCATAGTATGGATGTTGTCTAGATTCTGTGTCACCAGATAGCATGGATGTTGTCTAGATTCTGTGTCACTTCATGATATGGATTTTGTCTAGATTCTGTGTCACTTCATAGTATGGATGTTATCTAGATTCTGTGTTACTTCATAGCATGGATGTTGTCTAGATTCTGTGTCACTTCATGATATGGATGTTGTCTAGATTCTGTGTCACTTCATAGTATAGATGTTGTCTATATTCTGTCATTTTATTGTGTAGTTGTTCTCAAGATTCAACTCTTGAGTATTCTGTAATTGAACGTTCCAGAAATCAGTGTTGCAAAACCTTATTAGATATGGTAGAAAATATTTCACCAAGAATACTGAAGCTTGAATATTCCGATAGTTCTTTATATCCTAAAAGTAAAAGAAAAGCTAGTGGTAGATATACTGAATATATTTTGGAAACAGACCGAAGCCACTCTCCACCCATACATACAAATAAAAATTTATCCAAATAAACAAGGACAGTTATAATGCACCCCACTTTTTAGATAAGGGGCAGAGCAAATCCATGTTCCACATTTAACCTACTTGTCTGAAGGCTAATGCCTTCTTGTGAGAGGTATGAAAGTTATCCACGCGAAAAGTCATTCATTAGAGTTTTATATTTTCGTCAAAACGAGGACATGGTCTCATAGCAGTATGTGTAAAAAGAAAGATTTTCCATTTGTAAAGTAATAACTGATTCTAAGATCATACTTCACAAACACTTCCCCAGTTTCTTGTTAAAACTACGTGTATTCGTCTTAAGATAATTCATTCATAACTCTTCATTTGCACACTACCTGGCAAACAGAAGTTACCCACCTAGAAACTGTATTATCAATCTTTTTACAAATATTGAACTGACGTTAAACACCTTTCTCAAATTATTAACGAATGTTGGAAGAAACAAACCTGTAACATTAGCTATGAAAACCCAGTGTTTATGTTAACCACCTCTGATATCTAACACTATTCAGATGAAACTCAAGTTTGCATTGTCTAGTTCAGTGCACTAACTTGAGGCATAAAGCGAAGGTAGAATTTCCTCTTCACATCACTGACCACATTATGCTGACAGTGGAAATATACAGTTGTTTGCCCACACTCATGAGATGTTGATGTTGTTTCGTAAAACATAAAATAAACATTGTTATAGAAACATTACCTTTTATTCATGAAACGCATAACAGAAACAATATACATATATGTATATAACACTGGTAGTACGTATATATCATAACGCCTCTTTTACACAATTTAAAATATCGATATGTCTATTCGTACAATGTAAAAACATTTAGTACAAGTTTGTGCACTTATTTGTAATTTCTAAACGAAGAGTATTTGCCAATCCTCGAAATGCGAAAATTCCGTCTTTAGGCAGTCACACGTAACTAAGAGAATTAATCCAGGTATGCCCTTCCCTTTACGTGGCCAGCATCCTCGATAAGCTGTTAATTAGTTTGGATGTGACATTAGACTCGGAATGTTCTGATAAACCTTGGAATTAAATATACTTCTAAGAAAAGCTAATTCTATCTAGAATTCACATGGTATTAGAAATACTTGTGTTTGGTACTTCTCCATTGCACAATATAATTGCCGACAAAAAGTGAAGATATTAACTATGTTTTGATAAAGTGACCATACGCTGTATTATTTCTTGATTATCAATTTTTAATACATTGAGTGTTTTCTTCATTCACACGTTTTACTTCTGGTCAATTCAAGTTTATTTACACGTTGCTTAACAAATCCAAAACCTTCTTTTTGTTGTAGTTTTAATCAGCTTACTCGTTGGACAAGTGTACTTTGGAATACCACAAACTTGGTTATATAGTTTCAATTGTGAGTGCCGTTTGTAAGTATTCGTTTATTGTAGAGTTTAATTTCGACACGTTTTTTTTCCGGTAAAACGTAAGTTTCAACTTCTTTAAAATGGAAAGATTATTTCCAAAATGATCACGGTGGTGGAGAGAAAGGGATTGTTACTGGAGTGCAGTCTTGATCAAAATATCTTATATGTGTTCAGAGGTTAACTATCATGGATTAGAAGGTTCCACCATCCAAGCATTTTTAATCTGGTCACTAGATCAGAGAAACAAACTACAGCTTGAGTAGCTGCTCACCAAGCATTCTCTCCAAGCTTCACCTCCAGCATATGGGGGAAATCGGCACCTGCTAGTTTCCACAGAAATATAAAACTTGGCTATCTTGAGACTGAGTAGTACTTCCAGTTTGTCACCAAACAGAATTGCAGATCGTTATTGCTGGTAGTGTCATCTGTGATTAGAGAGTTAGACATTACATTGAACTACTTCACTGTAGGTTGGACATTGTGCATATCATAGTAATAATTAGCGTACTTGACACCAGAGATCGTAAAGAAGCTCAAAGTCGAACAGAGCAGCCAAATAACGTGCATGTTATCACGACAAATTGCATTACTGATTAGGAGTGAAAGCTGCATGATTGCTTGAATGGTTGAATTTCCAGAAATAAACAAAAGAGCGGCTCTTCATTCACTAGTCAACCAAAGAAATGCAGGCAAGCCTCTGCTTACACTAACGCAGTCTAGACGACGTGAAAATAACCAGATCAACTCACTAATCCTTAGCGTGAAGACCATGGAGACAATGGAATATTTTTAAAGCATTTCAATTAGTAATTTCCTTCAATTTCTGAACCGAGGGACAGATGTTTTAACACTTGATGCTATTGGGCAGTGGTTGGGGCTTAGTTGTACCAAACGTTCGACCTGTTAGAGAAAATCGTCTGCTGAGTGAAATTCAAAATCATGAGCCACATATGAACTTGACCGTTGGTGCAGATAACTTGCAATAACTGCATAGGAATGCTAACTCTGAATCATTAGGATATCCCCATAGACAAGTTTATTATAAGCTTTCTAAGTGAGATATGCAACTCCACATAGGTGCCAGGAATTTTGTCGTTCACAGAAATATTTTTGTAGTAACATAATTGGGGAAAGGAGAAAGCCAACAGTTATAGATACAGTTGCTTAACTTTGGCCATAACTTTTCAACGCTCAGCCTCGACCACAGCATCATGGCTAGGTAACAATGTTACGTTAGGCAATAGTGATTAGTCAGAATAACAGGCTTTGTTAACGAGTGTCACCACTGCAGCAGCAGGAAGGTCAAGACAGATGTCACTGAATTAGAAGAATAGAGCTTCTGAGTCAATGGCAGGCTGCTTGGACATTGGAGAAGAAACTGCCAATATACTGTAGTTCAGTAGGAGAGACAGGTTTCTTTCAAGTCAACTGACAATCAACAGCAGGATTGCCGTGAACAAATAATGGCTGCCACTGTTCCAGTTACTTTACCTAGTGGAGCCTGTGCTTTTTATGGCTAGTGTCCTTAGTGGACAGAGCAGCTTGATTTGTCTAAATGTGTGGTGACCAGCTTATCTTGGTTTGAATGTAGCTTGATACATGCCCATAAACATACAAGGATGGGTGGGAAGTTATGTTTTTGTTAGACACTGGTGCTTCCAGAAATCTATTGAACTTTACAGTGTATGAAGCAGCATGAGTGGGCTGCAACTGTTCCAGTTAACAGAGATAAGGTAAGAAACAACTCCATTTTGTTACCATACTGTGTCTCACAGTAAGAAAATTGTTGTCTCTGGGCTTGGTTTTGAGTACTGGTGTCTTAGGAACGAGCCTAGTGCAGAAGTTATCAACCAGCATGGCATGTTGTATGGGATAGCTGTAACTCTGTGGTAAAATAATTAAATGCTAGCCTGTCAGAACCCGGAAGTATGGACTTACAAAAGTACATTTAAACAAGTAATCAAAGTACCTTCAAAGGTATAACAGATGTTTTTTGAAATTTGTAAAACTCAAACTATTCTTACCATCATCGGCTGTGATAGTAGAACCAATACAATGTTTGCTGTCCAAAATCCAAACTGTAATTGCCCAGACAGTTATTTTAAATGCTAGCTATATGCCAGTGCTGGTTTGTAATCGTGAATAGATGGTCGAAAGTTGTGCAGACAGTCTGAATACAGAACATAGGTAGAAATTCAGTATACTACTGATATAACTTGCTGATATGTTTGTAGAACGAGATGATCGTCTGGGCATAACAGCAATTCTTTATCAGCACAAAGACACCAGTAATGCATATCCAAAAGAACAGCTGCTGCACAGGCTTTCTGGGAGTATCAGAAATGTTTTCAGTACTGAAATAAAACAGATGTTAACCTCTAGTACTGATTGTGAAGAGGTGGACACCAAAAACTTCAGAGGAATGATTGTTAATGGGCATCAATATGTTATTTTTCATGCATAAAGGTGTATCTAAATTATGTGTCTGTTAGCTCAACATATTAGATCTGACATCCAGCTACTGGCAAATATAAATGGATGATTAAAAAGAGATTTAAGACTGCTTTTGATACTCGAGACTTGTGAATTTCTTGTCATGCCATTCAGCCTGATGGCGCCCACACTGCGAGGCTTGCAATGAAAGAGATACTTCATATGTGTGTATGATATTTTGTTATTTAACTATGTGTTTCAGTAGATAAAAAAGGGAGATTTTAATTAAAACCAAAAATGTATACTTGTGCATAAAATTGCATTTTTTATCACTTAGTATGCAAGGATGGACTGTCTACTGATCTACAAATATTGTAGAGTATCCAAATTATCTATATCACTGTCTACTATTACTAAAGCTGATTAGCATTTTAGATGTACTGAAGACCTACCAAGCATTTCATTCCAAACGTTTGATTTAGTTGGGGCTTCAGTTTTGGCTTATCCTTGTGGAGATTGTCCATTTATCTTATATACATATGCCAATCAGAGCAGGATTGTCACAGATGCAGAACAATGTAATCGTGTGTTCGGTATGTTTTAATACTTCCTGAATACTGGTACTCCATGACAAAGAAAAACTACTTGCAACTGTGGCACTTATAGCGCACTACTTCCGGAAGTTGTATAGTAAGATGTTCACTATTCAAGTGAACCATGATTTACTGAAATGGCTGATAAACTTAAAATTTCATAGACAACATCAACTGGAGCACCATCACGAGAGCCCAGACAGATAATCCTCCTAGACATTGTGCAGCTGTGAAAGCCATTCAGTAGCAGTGAAGATGGACCATACAGAAAGTGATGATTTATGTCACAGATGGATTTTCTGAACAAATGACACATTAGGATCTCTGGGAAAAGTAACTAAAGCACCCTGATTTAGCCTGGGTGCTATTTTGCTGTGCAGCAGATTAAATATGATCTATAGCCTATACATATTAGGTAATTATGTAGCAGTTATAAAAACCTGATGATGTGCTGCACTGTTGTTATGAAACATGGCATCTTACCTATAATATGGGTAGTGGTCTCATGTTCGCTGATATAACTTAAACTTTGCGTAATTCAATACACTACTTTGCGCAATACACTACAGCCTATTCGCAAAAATGTTTTTTGGGCTGAATTTATAATAATACATTGAGAGACACTGTGTACTGTTCAGAAGAGAAGGTGTGAAAGCTGTAAAATAGCCCTAGATATAGCTGTTTCTTTTAACAGAAGACTGATAATGATAACCAATATTTATTGGTCATTATCAGTTACTAAACCAAGTAGGATGACGTTTATGAATTAGTTAACACTGCAGTGCAAACTGTTGCTGATTATTTGACTCAGTAATAAGTGAAATATAATTCAAAGCACTTGGAAAAGTCCATATGGATCAACATGTAAATTTCAAAAGTCAATTGTTTGCAGACTTGTGCTGAGTGTTATGTATGCTCAAGATACACGCTTCACCGTATCATTCACGGCCTGATGATTTTTCTGAATGTGTTTTACAGACTTCAAAGTTTGTATTCCTGAAAACTGTCTGTGATGAACATCTACCTTATAGGACAACAAAGCAACAGCTTGCTCGTTGTTTCAAACTTATTGATGCTTGAATGCGAAATATACTTCTAATGGATGTGACTTATAGTCCACCTCTCAGTACAAATGTTCCACACAACCCACATGAATATGTGGAGTGGTTAATTAAACAGAAACAGTATGACAAAATAGTAAATAAATGAAAGCTTGAGCCTGGAAACTAGACATGGTTTTGGTATGTACTGTAACAGGTATGGAGACAACTCTGTTTTTGGCTGGATTGGTCTTCACCTCCTTCGACAACATTACTGTAGATTACAACACGAAAATACACTGAACACATTGGCAAGGTTTAGCTCTGTTTCTTCCATCTCGATAGGTTCAATTAACATTTCTTCATTACACTTAAAGTCATTTACTTTAGCTTCAATAATAAATTGACTTCTTGCTGGTACTTCAGTTAATTAACTAACCTTACAGGTACTCTTTCTTTCAAACACTCCTGTTGGGATGCTCTGTTGCTTATGTTAGGCATAAGTGTGGAGTCATCTGAGGGGTTTGAATTACTATTTTAAAGCTTTATTTGCTAGCTTACTCTGCATTATCTTACTATCACTCAAATTATTCTTATGACTACCGTCGTCACTTCTGCTGGATTTAAAGTTTTTCTGTGTGTTCTTATTCCCTGGCTTTCCTTTAGGACTTCTGATGCACTGGCTGGGCTTAAAACCAGAGGTAGAAAGGATTGATGCGTCATAGATTAACGAATGAACTGTATTATATTATCTCACTTAGACGGTGGTGAGTAACATACCACAAGTGCTGCTACTCTGGCTGTTTACAATGAGTCATAAACTACCTTACAAAACTCCAACTGTCTGGAGATTGGCTGCAGTGATTACATTGAGAAGGCCAAAAGGGCATAAAATATCTAACAGATAGTCTATCAGTTCAAAATTAGGGAACGAGGGTAGATTTACGTGGTGAGTTTTAGAGCTGGCCACCTACGATCCAATAGGTTAAAGCAGATAGTCTTTTGATTAGCAGCCCAGACGGCTATGATATCACCATCTGAAAAACCTTAGTGATCCTCATTGCTTGAGCTAGTAAGTGAAATTTCACAGAGAAATATTCAGAGAATATTTTGTGTTTGCTAGTCGATCATAATAGTTAGCATGGTTGACGATATTTGGTACAGTATCTAGCACACTGATAGGCGGAATCGATGGCAATGGTTGTATGTCTAATAATAAGGACTGGAATTCGTATTTACATAAAGAACATCTCGCATCGTGTATTGGAAACTATTGAGAATATGGTACTATGATGTTAATAAAAACATCCTTTAGTCCCTGTTGAAATGAAATAGCTAAACCCTCATGTTGCTAGGTGACAATGTAAAAAACAAAAACATCCATAAGTGTTTGCGTACATTGCTGAATAATGCTAACTCTTACAAAACAACTGAACAATATGGCCAAGCGTAACATGAAAGGAAGTGATAGGCTTGGTTAAATATGTTTTATATTCGTATTAACATTAATAGCAAAACTTATCATAAATGTCTGCGAAATCTTTACGCAAATCATAAAAGGTTTGAAAACTTCGTTTTTCTACTTGATGAACCCCTTGTAATTAGCCATATGTAAGGTTGTTGATATACAAAATAGAGAATAGTAAAAATATTAGTCTCGGAGCGATTCAAACATCTGCAGCGTCAAACTTCATCAGCAATTCTAAGAACTTATGAATGAAAACAAAGTAGAGTATGTTATAATATGTCAACCGCACTACATCTGACATTTCCATTACCTACGAGGCCTTTTGTTCAGAACCAGAGCTCATCAGGTCGACAGGGACATGATAAACATGGAAGTGGTCCAGATGCTATTTGTGTTCTTTATTTCATCATTCATTCATTGATATTTTTATCACGTCAAATAACATACTGTATGTCGTCTTTTCCAAAATAAATAAATGGAAAAAATTCATAAAATTACGCAAATGACCGTGCATAAATAAAAACATTATCAGTTCGAGCTTATCTGTACGTATACTGTATAATGGTTTATCAACAATATATGAAGTATGATTATTTTTCATTTGATCATTTTATTTGTTTGTTTTAGTCATTGATTTCATTATGTTTCATCCTATACACCGCCTATTTGTTTTATGTCGTATTACTTCTCATTTACCGAAAACTCGGGGTTCTAGTGATTGGCAGTTGATAGGTGTAGGAATCCCCTTCATTCTGAAAGAGAAAGTATTTTCATGAAATCAAGAAATGTATTCTGATTTTATTTGGGTCATGGTGGTCCCAAAAGATTCAACAAGAGTATCCCAAGATTTGGCGGTTTGGGTGCTGTTGAATTGCTGTCTTCCCTCTAGTCTATCAGTTCAAAATTAGGGAACGACCATGTGCAGAATTTTCTTGTGTAACTTTGCGCGAAATTCTGAAGCAACAAACAAACAGAATGATCTCAGTGAATAAAAGAGTTTGTCGATGTATTTATGGTGTAAACACTTCAGATGTAATGATGTCAAATGACCACAAGCTCCTCGTGCTGATTGTCGGCTCAAAAAACTGTTTCGTAGCTCATAAAAACAATTTACTTTAAATGAAACGTCAACAGAAATGCGTCGAATTATACGATATTAATATTTTACAGAATACAGTTATAAAGAGCTACAAATCCACGATATTAATATTTTACAGAATACAGTTCTAAAGAGCTACAAATCCACGATATTAATATTTTACAGAACACAGTTCTAAAGAGCTACAAATCCACGATATTAATATTTTACAGAACACAGTTCTAAAGAGCTACAAATCCACGATATTAATATTTTACAGAACACAGTTCTAAAGAGCTACAAATCCACGATATTAATATTTTACAGAACACAGTTCTAAAGAGCTACAAATCCCTCTTCTGTAATCGTAGTAAGTCCTCGTTGATCTGAAAATGTCGGTGTTAAATTTTACAAAGCTACACAATGAGCTATCTGCGGTCTGTCCACTAAGGGGAATCGATCCCCTGACTTTAGCGTTGTAAGTCCTCAAACTTGCTACTTACCCACCGGTATACCACTATGTAATTGCTGCAATATGTTTCTCTTTACTTCATTTAAGCGTTAGAGACATTGCACCTTTTGAAGTGCAAATGAAAACTAAATAAACAAATCAAATAACAATCTCCATGGTTTTTATGTCAACCTTAAACTGTAACTATAGTCTAGAACGTGGTTGTCTTTCTGGAACAATGAATTTTTTTTAAAGACGTCTGTCGAACCTTTTTCATGTTTTTCTTCCTTTCTTGTGGGGTTAAATAACTTTACTTGTTATATTAAATCTGGTAGAATAGAACATCTTATCTGAGATAGTTTAGA